GGGTTTTAAAATTTTAGGGATTAGGGTTTAGGGGGGTTTGGGGTCCAAAGTGTAGGGTTTAGAATTTGGGGTTGAAGTTCAGGGTTCAGGGTCTTGGGGCCGGTTGAGGGTTGAGGATCTGGGAGGCTTCCTAAACCCTAAACACCCTAACTGTCTCTATTTCACGGTCGCCCGGAAACAGTGACCCTACCACAGTGACTGGCCAAAGCAATTCTATTGTACTTTGTGCTATAACATACTGTAGTATACTTTTGTCGGTTAATACTATCATATACTATAATATATGATTTTCTATATCAATTACACCATCATAGATTATTTTTTCTATAATGTACTATAGTCGTTGAGGAGTCCGAACTGCCCCCCCTGCAGGCAACTCCGCTGGTTCGAGCCGCTCTGCAGGTGCGAAGCGGTGGTGTGAGCGCTACAGGGAGTAGGCCATTGATGGCCGCGGCTGCGCGTAAATTACTGGATTAGGCTTTGCAGGGGTTCAGGGTTTGGGGGTTTTAGGCTTTCAGGGTTTTAGGCTTGGAGGGAGGCTTCAAGAGGCCAGGGTTCAGGGTTTAAGGCAGGGCCGTGGCCCTGGGACCGTTAAGCCCGAAGCCGTCCTGTTTTGTCACGAGTTGTGCGCAAACTCCTTCCCATGGATTCGCACACAAAGACTCCAATATCCCTTAATTAAGGAATATATCGGAATATACCTTAAATTATAGTAGGATCCCTATTCTGATATAGGGTATATTCCTTAATTAACGGATAGTGGAGTCTCTGCAGGCTGGCCAGGACGGAGAGGGCGGGGTGGGCACGGAGCACCCAAAGACCCGGAGTTTGCTCGCAGGGGCTCCTGGCCGCTTTTGCATTGGGTTTAGGGGTCAAGGGGTTTAGGGGTTAGTTTGCATTTAGGATTTACCTTGCGGGGGCCTTTGAAGGCTGCTGAGGAGTTTGAGGAAGTAGATGGAAGCAGGGCCAGAAGTGGGGCGGGGGGAAGTTCGGGTTTGGGTGGACAAGTTTCAAAAACGGATCAGAATGGTTCGGATGCATGGGGCAGTTGTTGCTCTGCATCTTAGCTTTTCGAGAGTCCTTCAGCGATAATTTACCACAGTATACTTTAATATGCTAAAAACTAGTAACTAGAAGATACTATTTATATACTACACTGCAATATACTATTATCGTGGTGTGAGCGTAGTGGCCCGGAGCTTGTTTGCGCAAGAAAGCGATGCTCACCCGGACCTTTGCCACTTGTAGGTTCAGCCCCGCCGAGCCGCCATCTGCAGGGAGTCATTGGAGAACTACGAGGGAGGGTTTAGGTTTAGGGGTTTGGGTTTAGGATCATGGGTTTAGGGTTTAGGGTTTAGCGTTGAGGGAAGCCTGAATGGCACGTTTTGTCCGTGCAATGCAGAATCACGGCAAGTCATTGTCTCGGCTCTCTTTTTGAGCAGCGGTTCCGCGGAGTTTCTCTCTAGACTCCAGAGGCCCAAGCGACCACCTGAAGATAAGGATCTCACACTTAGGGTGTTGTGGAATCTCCCTCGTAGGCACCCTTTCTCTCCCTCAGGTGAATTCCGAAAGTGGCGGCTCAGCGCCGCTGGCAAGTGTTGTCGCCCCGCCGGCGGACCGCTCCCTTAAGTGTGGAGACTTTGGGGGGAGTCAGGCCTCTGGACTTCGAGTCTTTCCGGTGGAGGATCTTAGAATATGCTATCCAGTACGACAGTATATGCTAGAATGCATACCGCACAGCATGATACATACCCAATGAAGGATGCTTACTGTGGCACATCGCTGAAAGCATTTGCCCGAAGCTTCCAATGATGATGCTGGAGTGTCCCCCTAAATCCATACTTCTGCGACGGAGGACCAGCGGTATCGAGAAAAGCTGCTGAAAGCTGCTGGGGCCTCCGCTTCTATGAGAGGAAGACGTGAGGCTGACCTAAACCCTCCAAACCCTTATCGACCCACAGTCGTATTACCAGGATTCTCATGTTAAAGGCGACCCTAAACCAGAAGCCCAAAATCCTAAATCCAAAACCCAAAAACCCCAAACCCCACCTTCCAAGTTTCAGGAAATTTATAAAAAAAGATCCAAAAGTCTGAGGCCAACAGTCGCCTCGGTGCTGCGGAGAAGCTGCCACCCCTTCAAGAGGCTTATCGGGTTCAGGATTTAAGGGTTTAGGGTTTCATAAAAGATTTAAGTTGCCCTTCTTTTCGGCCATAGGTGGGGGCACGGTGGGGATTTTGTGTTTCTGAGGCGTCTCAGCATTTCCGTTTTCAGTTTGTTTTTGCAGGGTTCCCTTCATTTTGGTTTTAGAGTCTTCGGGTTTCAGGTTGGCGGTGTTTGGGCTGTTTGAGGTAGTAGGGAACAGATGTTTAAGGGGTGTAGTGAGTTGTGGGTTCGGGGTTGGGGCTCCGGCAACGGAATATGGGCTTTGGGTTTGGGCTGTCAGACTTCAGAGTCCTAAACGGTTTAGCGTCTCGAGTTGCTAGGGCCCCGGCTTTTGGGGGCATCTCGACAGTCACGATTGGTTTCGTCCTGCCCTGTCTGGAGCCTAGGGGCCTAGAAGATGGTCGAACCTCCGCAGTCAAGCGGTCACGCCATAAACCCAAGACTTTAAACCCCAAACTCAAAACCCCACCCTGAAGCCTAAACCGCTATGACATGCCATTGAATCTTGATTCTCAGAACCAAGGCTTACCCTACACTCGACAAGCCTAAGTTCTAAACACGAAAATTGAATCTTGAGTCCCAAGCCCTAAACCCCAAAGAATAAACTAACCGCCCTGGTTCCCCTGATAGGTTGTTGTACATGCTAAGTTTAGGCAGAGAGGCCCATCCTCGCCGGCTCCCCCTGGTACCGGAATTAGCTTCTACCTCGTAGAGTTGGCCACAAAGATCCGAAGCCTTAAGCCTCAAGCCCTTTAAAACCCTCAAGCCTTGAAAACCCACTTAGGGTTTAAGGCTTTATAGGGGTATGGTTTGGGGTTTAAGGCCTTGTGATAGTTTCGTGTTCAGGGTTCAGGGTTCGGGTTTCGGGTTTCGGGTTGAGGGCTTCGTGGAGCAGTTCAAGCAGGCTGACCCCCGGGAAGCTCGACGACGTCCGGCAGCCTCGCCGCGCAAGGATCTCGGTTTGTGGTCTCGATGGGGTTTTGGGTTTAGGGTTTAGGGATGTTTAGGGTTTAGGGTTTAGGGATGTTTCGGGTTTAGGGTTTGGTTTTTTTGGTTTAGGGGTTTTGGGTTTAGGGTTTAGGGATCTCACTTTGTGGTCTTGAAGGTGTAGGTTTTGGGTTTAGGGTTTATGGATCTCAGTTTATGGCCCGTTTTTGAATGCGTGGGTTCAGGGTTTGGGGTTTGGGGATCTCAGTTTGTGGTTCCGTTTTTGAATGTGTGGGTTGAGGGTTTAGGGTTTAGGGATCTCAGTTGGTGGTCCTGTTTTTGAACGTGTGGGCGAACAGTAGCTGCAACAGCAAGAGCATCAGCAACAGGAGAGCAGGAGAACAGGAGCAGCGACCACAACTATGCCATCAATGTTACGATCCTTGTGATCATTGTCATTGTAATATAGTATGATCTGATACATTATAATAGAATGGAGTTACAGTTACAATGTAGTACAATATGATATAATAAGATACAATACAATATGATAATGATATCATATAATGTAATCTAGACTGACGACCGCTGTCACATGCTCGTACGAGTCATCGAGTTGAGACATGGCTCGCGCTACGCAAGGCACCGGATCGCAGCTCGCCTCTCAGACTTTCCCACGTTCACGCAGACTTTGAAGGTTTAGGGTGTTAGGGTGTTAGGGGTTTAGGGGTGTAGGGGTTTAGGGGTTTAGGGTTTGAAATAGCTTGGAGTTGACCAGCTTGCCATAGGGACGAGACTAACACAGTGCACCGATGTGAGTTCAGAGCGAGGTCTGCGCGCTAAGCGCCGCATCGCTGCGCCCTAGATTCCCCTGGGCCCTTGCTTGTTAATGAGTCGGGAGTTTCCGAAAAGAAAGGGTATCTCATTTTGGGGTCCTTATAATCAGGATCCTACTATTTAGGGTACAAACTTCGGAAACCCCCAGTGGAGCTTTCCCGGGAGTTGTCGGAGATGTGTTGGCTCACATTTCCACATTCAGCTCTTCACATTCCTGCTTGATTATGTATTTGGGGCACTTTCGGTACCCCTCTCTCGGAACAGCTTCCTGTTCGGCGCTTCGCGATGCGACAGCTGCCATCGTCGCAGAGTGGTGGAGCAAGACGCTCCGCTTGTCTCTGAGTTTAGCCCCTAGCTTACGTAAGGAAATGAGACAGAGCTTGACCTTGTCGTCGTGTTGTTTGTATGGTTGCAGACACATCTTGGTGGCCATTCTGACCAGAAGTTGGGAATCTTGGGCGATCATTCGGGCTGCTTAAGACCTTTGGCTCAAGCACGAAAGCAGTTTTTCTCAGCACGTGATTCGACCCAAGAGGGAGGATTTGAGATATATACATATGAGAGCAGTGCGACAGAGTTCGAAGACAAAAGTATGCGAGTAAGTAAGTGAGTAAGCAAGTAAACAAGTACTTAGGGAAGTGGGTGGGAACGTAGGCAAGTACGCAACTAAATAAGTACGTATGCATGTGTGCATGTATGTACGTACGTATGTATGTATACATGCATGCTTGGATGTGTGTACAGACATGTAGAGATATGTATATATATATATATATGAAAAGATGCACGTAGTTTGTTATCCTGCCTTGGCCTGCTTTGCCAGGGCCCCAATGCTGGAGAGAAAGTCTTGCAAGGTCGTTTCTGCTCCTGTTCAGTAAGGTGCTCGACCCAAAATCAACATCCCAAAGCCGTAACACTAACCCTTGCGATTCTGCATAAACCCTATACCCTAAACCCTAACTGGACAGAGCTTCTTCTTCTTTTTCGTGCGAAGCTTGGGGCGCACTTGCCGATCTGTCGAGCGTTTGCTCAAGGAAGGTAGGAGCTTCGCAAGAGGTTCGGGGTCATCGCCATGGAAGTCGCCACAAACACAGCTGGCACGTTTGAGGCAGCGCCGTGGAGAGATGACGATGTCCTGCGCTATGACCATGGTGATTTCGCGGAGCTTGAGGCGCACTTGAACTCCCAACCCACTTGGGTGCGTGATGCTGTTCGAAATCTTCTACACGAGGAGATGGCCCACTCTCTCTCCAACATCCATGGGCAAGTTGCAGAGTATCGCGACACGATTTCGAAACTGTTGGAGATTCACCGTTCGGAGGATGCAGCTTGTCTGCGGCACTTGCTGAAAGATATCCCCATCAGCAGCATGAAGGCCTTGGACAACAGTGCTTCTGCAGTCGAGAAAGAAATAGCTCTGCTGCGGGACTTCGCTCGAAAGTGTGACCTTAAAAGCTTGGAGGGCCTTGCCCGGCGGATCGCCATCAGGGCTGGCAGTTTCAAGAAGAAGTTCGCCGAGCTGCGACCGAAGCTTGAGAGGCTTACTGCAGAGGTAGAGAAGATTCAGCAGAAATGCGAGGCGAACGCCGAGCAATCGCAGAGGCTTCTGCAGCAAACGGAGCGAAGGCGTGATTGGTGGTTCCAGCTTTTCGATCTGATTGGGAAGACCATGGCCTTGGGAAGCGGAGCTGTCTTGGCGGGCTCTGTGGGCTCACTGTGCTACTATGGCTATCTCTACCAAAGCAAGGCGGCAGCCATGGGAGCCGCCAAGACGGCCTATGCAGCTGCCAAGAAGCTCTTGACTGAGAAAGCAGCTACCGCACAGGCGGCGGCAACAGAAGCGAGCGCCGCGAAGGCCACTGCTGCGGCAAAAGCTGCAGACTTGCAAGCTGCAAACCATGCACTTCAGGGTGCCACTGGCACGGAAGTCGCCACAACTGGCGCCAGCACCCATGTTGGGCCCGAAGCTGTTCTAGCAAGCCTAGGGGTGGGAGCAGCAATAGACATCTTCCTCTTGCACGGAGTGTATGCGGCACACGTTGCATCGGAAGCGGCCTATGCAGCTGCCTCGGCAGCATCTAGTTCCTATGCCGCAGCCCAAGCGGCCATGGCCACAGCTTCCTCATCCGTTGCACTGGCCACAGCAAACATCGAACCGCTCCAGGCGGCAATGGGCGCTCTGTCGATGTCGATGTGGGCAGTGGCACCTCTTGCAGTGGCATCGGGTGTGATCTTGGCTCTCTGCATGCTCGGTTATGCCGGCAGGGACGTGCTGAAGCGCATGCTTGGGAAGATCTGGGCCGATGAGATCAGGGATCACGAGGCTTTAAGCACATGGCAGGGGTGCTGAAAGATGCAGTGGAGAAGTTGAGGGCGACCAGTCGCTCCAATGAGAAGCTCGAGGAAGCCTTTGCCGTTGTGATGGAGGCTGCCGAGGAGCTTGCAACCCAGGCAGAGTGCGGCCAGTCCTTGCTCCTAGATGACGACTTCGAGGCCTTAGATCTTCAAGTGGAAACGGTCGGCAGCTCGTGTGAGAAGGCCGCCGCCGCCTTTGCCGAGATGCAGAGCCGCCTCGAAGCCGTCTCGAAAGTCCGCATCCTCGCCTTTGACCCGGCGGAAAAGCAGCCAGCCGTAGTAGATGCTTGGCAGGACCGCATGTGTAGAAACCATTCACAGTCCGATCATTTAGTTCAGGCGATGTTCGATGACATCAGACGCATCCTTTTGTCTTTGGCGTTAGCTGCCGTGATGCAGGAGGCTCACGACATCGAGGAGCCCGAGATCATCCCAGAGGAGGCTGAGCTGCTGCCTGAGGAGGTTGAGCCCGAAGCGGCAGACGAGTTCTTCAGGAGGCATGGCTGGATCCTCGTGGAGTCCAATCGCCCACGACGGGCTTCGGCAGATGAGGCGGCAGCGCCCAACCTGTCCCTTGCGGAAGATTGCGTTCCCGGCGGCGCATACCTGCTGGTCCCCATCGAGTGGGCTGCAAGGTTGTCGAAGAGGTCTACCTGCTTCGCAGCTGGTCCAGATGGCAATCGCATGTGTGAGGTTCTTTTGCAGCGGCAAGCCAACCGGCAAGTCGCAGCCTTTGCCTTGAAGGAGGGCGGCCGCATCCGAGTTACAGGTGACCATCCCTTTCGTGTATGCCGCTCTGGATCGTGGATTCAAGAGCAGGCCCGCGGCCTTCAAGTAGGCGATGTGGTCGTTACATCAGCAGGTGAAGAACAAGTAGTGCATCGTTACCCGGCCAGCTTCAGCGATGAGGATGTGTTCGCTGTGAACATCTTCGAACATCCAAGTTATGGCGGTGCAAGCGAAATCTTTATCTTCACACCCAGCCAGGGCAAGAATGGACAGTTATCCTTCTCCGGCGTGGCAGTCTTGGGGACAAGTGGCCCTCCGGGAGGCTTTGCCATACAAGCTCCTCGCTCCTCTTCCGCGCCGCCACGTCTGCGTGATTTGCCTTCTGCTGGGTCTGTTCATCATCCGCGGGATGGCCGCTGCCTCAATGTGTGCAAGCAATTCCTCCGAACCGGGCAGTGCAGCCGTGGCCGTGAGTGTCACTTCTGCCACTTGCCTCATCCCGAAGAGTCCAAACGCAGCCACAGTGGCCCCCGTGCCGAGCGGGGATAAGCTGAGAGCTGCTGTGCGCATAGTGCAGGCTGCATGCAGCCCTCAGCGCCCCTCCCCTGCTATTTAGTGTATTGGGTAGTCCTTCCCACTTTAGCTGGAACGAGCGATGCTCGATGTTAGACTGCTAGTGGGAAGGTAGGTTTCCGGTTCCAAATCAGGTTGCCTTGCCTTCGGTCTCCGCCATGTCCTCATGCACCGACGCTCTTCGTACGTTTCAAGCGCTTGCGGAGACATAAAGGTAAGGCCGCCTTTAGGCCAAAGTCTGGACGACACCGAGCTGCAAGCCGGAGTCAAAAAGAGTACCAGATATGTACCATGCCAAGAGGTGCCGACAACAGCCGGGAACATTAGAAGACTGGTACTGTACAAGGCCATGCTTGTTGGTACGTCAGTGATCTTGCAGGATCAAGTGGATGCCTTTGGCCGAGGCGGTGCAGACGAAGCTGATGCTACAAGATGGGAGCCGCTGGGCGAACAAGACATGGCCCACAAGAAGCGACAAAGGCAGCCCAGGTCTCGCCCTGATTTTGAGTTCGTCTTTAGACTAGACGAGACAGAAAGAGAATGCAGAAGTAGGGGGCATCGTTCAGGTGTTGAAAGATGAATGGGTCGCCGAGTCGTGGCTTTTTTCACCAGCCGGGCCAAGGAACCCCAAAGCAGCACTGTCGATTCAAGTTTAGGGTTTAGGGTTTTTAGGGTTTAGGGTTTTTAGGATTTAGGGTGTAAGGGTTTAGGGTTTAAGGGTTTCGGGTTTAGGGTTTAGGGAGCCGACAAAGCCTTGTTTTGCTTTCGTTGGCGGAAAAGGGGCGGCCAGCAGAATGCACGGGCGCCATGCTTCATGATGCAGGAGTACGTCCCGAACTCCCTAGCTACGTAGAGCTGAGAACGAAACAGGATGGCGACAAGGCAAGAGAGACAGAGACCTGGAAACTACAACAGTCATCAAGACAGGCTCCACATCAGGCTTGACATAGAAGCTTCGACCGAAGAGTCAGAGGTTGCGTCGATCCCGTATGGCGAGTAAAGTTAAAGCTGCCACTTGGCTCTCTTGTGATTTAAAGAGTGAGCGAGAGAGAGAGAGGGAGAGAGAGAGAGAGAGAGATAGAGAGAGAGAGAGAGAGAGTGCGCTCCACAAACGGTTGGGCATGTTTTGCGCGACTCTCGCGGTAGGCAGACATCCTTACCCCGAGACCATGGCCATGATACCCAAAAGCTGAATTTCGACATGGTCTCATGAAGATATACAGCGAAACCCTTTCCCCGAAAGACATGTGATACAATCGGTTGAAGGCATATTCGATCCTTGTGACTTTTCGCCGCAGCATTGGCTACATCTCATTGCCCATGCGTGCCGAATGGAGCGCCTCTTAACACATGGAAGATCAAGGCAATGCTGAACAGCATATCACAACAGCGGCCATAATGCCTCACAATCAAAGACGGAGCCCTCGCCAAGTTTGACAACGACTATGTTTTTGTGCGGCTTACCAGTACAGCATTGAGGACCTTAACCCTCACTACTAGAACAGCTTACCAAAACTGGTCCAGAACACTGCTAGCCACGAGAAGGCCCACAACATGATTCTGCCCCGTGCCCTGGGCACCTAGCTGAATGCCGCTTTGCAGGCCTAGCGGCCATGTTGTGGGATGCAAATCTTTAGAGACGACATTTACATGCATAATACATACTGAGAGCGGCAATGGATGGACCATCTTAATGATGACGAGGCTCACAGAATCATTGCCACCTGCTATGTGTAGAATAGACACGATAACGGTGGGGCTGGTGCTGATCCCCACACTAAATCATACCTGATAAGCGAAATGGTGATGGGGTCAATACATGACTCTCCTCCACATGTTGTCCAGGCTCAAGCACTGGACAGAGACGAATCCGACGGTCGGCACCGCAAGCGTGCCGGTTGTGGAGGTCATTGGACTGCTGCTTGCTTACCGCTTCACTAACTTACTACTACTACTACTACTACTACTACTACTACTACTACTACTGCTGCTACTCCTGCTGCTGCTGCCACTACCACTACCACTACCACTACCACTACCACTACCACTACCGCTACCACTACCACTACCACTACCACTACCACTACCACCACCAGTACCGCTACCACTGTTACTACCAATGCTGCCGCTACCACTATGGCACAGACTACTACTCCGACCTCTAGGATTCAGAAGCACCGAGGCGAAGAATCCGTCATTCTCGACGGGTCGGCTTCATGTTGGCACTATAGTAGAAGGCAGAAAGTTGGGACATCCTTAGCCTCATGTCCGTAAAGTAAAGTATAAGGAATCCCGGCAATCATCCTAAATCTACTTTCAAACTTTCTAGAATTCACTATATCTCCAACACTGACAAACAGAGTTCCTTTGCTGACGTTGCCTGTACGGAGCCCCGTCTGTCCGATGCCTCCGTGCTGAATTCGGATTGCATGGAAGGTACCTGTTTCAAAGAAAGCCTACCAATGAGAAGAATCGTCATATCTCAGCTCTGCGCAGGCTGCGAAGGATATGGGGGAGGACACCGCAATGGCTAAGCTGCACAAGTCCCACGTCGAGTGTTCATGCCATCCTGCCCAAGTTGCGAAAGGACCACCACCTGACAATCCACACCCCACATGTTGCGGTGGCCGAGCCAGCATCAGCCGTGCCAGGTCTCTCCCTGATCGAGATTTGGTTGGGAGTTTCCGGATTGTTTTTGGGATGTAGCGTTCGATGGGGTGTCTGGATCTGATGTTCACGCGTGATTGTGCCTGGCACGGTGGCAACTTCGTGGCTTGAGTGACTGGAACAGGGACAGAGGCAGAGAGAGAGAGAGGGGGAGAGAGACAGAGTGAGCGAACAAAAAGAGGGAGGGACAGAGTTCCTTTGAGATCCGCCAGGGATCAGCTGCCAGGAATCCCCTGCCGCAAACAGGTTTGAGTTTGAGCCTTCAGTCCCAAGAAATTCATAAACCTCAGGAGCATCCCACATGCTACATCAGAACATGTGCAGGCGAGTCTGCGAAAGCCGTGCTCATTGCCCCCTGGGCATGTGGCCATTTCTCGGGCGAAGTTGTGGACAGTTGAGGGAAGAGGTTTAGGGGTTCGGAAGTAGTTGCTGGCCCACTCCACCACCAGAGCATTGGAAACCTGACTTCAGGCTAGGAGCCTTGCACACGAAGAAGAGCAGGTAGAGCGTAAAGACAATGATCAGTCAGCAAACATGACCGCTTATACTTTGTAATGTAACACTCGCAGTGCCTACTGTCCTTGACCCCTATCTGCTGATGCCAGTCTCTGCTACACCACTCATCACGAGATGAGTCTTCGTAGTTTGTTGGCTTTGCAGATTGAAACAGGCATTCGACGCCAATGTCCATGGTCTTTTTTGGTCACAAGACAGCAACCATCTGCTCGCTGGATACCGCAAGACTGAGGGTGCACGGTCGAGGAGTTGGAGTTACAAGGTTAGGGTTTAGGTTTCATGATGACAGTGCTACGAAGGAAAGTGGAGAGAGCCAGAAAAGCACTTGGCTTGCCAGGCCACCTGCATTTTGGTTGATGCCATGGCTCCCCTCCTGCAGGACTACTTTGTGGACATGCCTAGACCAAACGCCTGAAACGCGAGACCCCCGAACCCCTGAACCCCAAACCCCTAGCCCAAGCTCCGAGAGCAAGGAGCAGGCCTCCAAAAGCCAGCTTCCCAGCTTGGGAGGAGGGTTCAGGGTTTTAGGGTTGGGGTCTAGGGTTTAGGCGGTTCGGGGTTTAGAGTTTAGAGTTTAGGGTTTAGGGCTCAGTTGCTTGACGTGCTTTGGGGTTAAGGGTTCAGGTTTAGGGTTTAGGGTTTTCGGCTTCAGTTGCCTATGCTTTGCAGTCTGGAAGTCTGCGGTTCCCAAGGCTTTCCCGGCTACTTCATGGTGCTCGCCGCAGTCTCAGTCCTGCAAGTCAAGTCTGCCTCTGTTGGAGAGTTCCCGAATTCCTTACTAGAACTCCGACCTATTCCCAATACCATCTACCAGAAACCCAAGACTCCGTTTCGTAAGCACTTTCTAGACCCTAAACGGCCCTAAACCCTGACACCCAGAGACGGCAACCCTCGACCCCCGGAATTTCAAAGGCCGAGACCGTGACGTACTTTTTTGGTGGCCTGTCCTTGGCCATCATGCGCGAAGGCCCCGGAGCTCCGACTCGCGCTTCGGGTTGCGCGCGTAAACTTTTTAACATGAGCCCTGAAGCCCTAAACCACAAACCCCAAACCCCAAAGCGCTACATAAAGCCCTAAAGCCTTAAAAGACCCAAAATAAAAGCCCCAAAGCCGTAAAGCCTTAATCGCCCAAGCCCAAAAGCCGTCAAAGATGCGCCAGCGCACGTGGCAGGCCTCACGGGCATGAGGAGATGTCTCAGACCATGGAGGCCCGGTGCAGAGGGGATCATACTCAAAGGATCATGGGACTTCGTAACTAAAATTATAATTCGGGTAACTATACTTATAACGACTTATAACCCCAATTTAAGTACCTATAACCTTACTTGCTAAGTCCCATGATCCTCCAAGTAGAACCGTTGAGGCTCTTAGGGTTTAGGGATGTTTAGGGTCAAATGTAGGAACCTGATTAAGCAACCCTGGGCCTATAACCCCAAAATAGTAGGATTCATATAAAGAACCCTAATAAAGGCCCGAGGTTTCTTAATCAGGTTCCCACATTAAGGCTTAGGGTTTGGGGTGTAAGGTTTAGGGTTTAGGGTTTAGAGGGGATCATCAGGCTACCGAGACCCCGATGATAAAAGATCCCAACATCCAGGGATCTTCGAGGCCCTAATCTCTCATGGTTGAAAGTTTAGGGTCTAGAGTAGTAGAGAAGCCAAGATGGTTAGAAATATTCTTCCTCAAGGTTCCTTATTACAGCTAAACTAGACTATACAGGAGCCCTTAAAACCACATTCTTACAAATCACCCCCCCCTTCCTCACAGTCTAGGCTATACCCTAAGATTGTGAACCCAAAGCCTGAAGCTGAACGCCAAAGCCTTGACACGTCCCTGCTCATGGGAAGTCGGGAACAAACGAACGCTCGCACCCCCACGCCCGACACTCATTAACCCTACACCCTCAACCTAAACCCCAACTTCTAAACTCTTTAACCCTGCACCCTTTGATCTTAAACCCTAAACCCTTTAACCCTAAACCCTGAGCCTTTAGCCCTAAACCTAAACTCAAACCCCTAAACCCTCCAAACCCTAAACCACAAACCCTTTGATTTCCCCAAAAACCCCGAAGCCTAAGCCCTCAACCTTGAAACCTTAAACCCAGGTATCTCTCCTTTATGCCGGCCTCCCTGGCTTTTAGCTGGGCGGGCTTTATGACCTACCCGGCCATCAAAGGCGGCTTCGGTGGGGTTTTGGCAGTTGAGGGCTTCGAGTCTATCGGGTTTTGGGGGGTTTAGGAGCTCTTGAACGGTTTAGGGTTTAGGGGTTTAGGGTTTAGGGTTTTTGGGTTTTAGGAGCTTTTGGACGGTTTAGGGTTTAGGGGTTTAGGGTTTGGGGTTTAGGGGTTTAGGGTTTAGGGTTTTTGTGGTTTCAGGTTTTAGGTTGTAGGGTTTAGGGTTTTTGGGGGTTTTAGGAGCTCTTGAACTGTTTGGAATTCGTGGTTCAGGGTCTGCATTGCATGCGATTGCGTGTACCGTGAAACCTGTCATGTGACATGGGTTGTCTTGGAAGCTAGGGGCTCTAAACGCTAAGCCCAACCCTAACTGCGTCTTGCTCCAGATTTGCGATTTGTGTCCGGGTCTTGTTTCTATTTCTTGCTTCTGTCTTGAGACTAGATAGGGTTTCCTACTAGTAGACTCGGAGCCTTTGACATTTCTGGGACCTACATAATCCCAAAATACTCCTAAAGGGTTACCTGTAGCTCCGCAGGATACTGGACAAGTAGGATATTGCAATTGTACACGGTTTTGGTTGGTTGCGAAACAATCCCAGGGCAAGCAGCGTAGCAACTTCTTTTCTAACTGATGCAGCGCCAGTAGCGAATTTCACACAACCACGGAAAGGCTTGGGACGAAGAGGTTCAGGGCTTAAGGCTTGTTCGGCACCCTGAATGCTCAGGGTTCAGAGTGCTGGTTCAGAATCTTCAGCCCCCATCGGTTGGATCATCCAAACCATGAGGGGCCAGATTCAAGTTTAAGGCTCGTTTGGATGGACACGGAGAAATCTGGTTCCCTTTGACTCCTCGCTTGGACCAAATTGCACCACATCGAAACCCACGATCTGAACGAGTAAGCGCCGAGGCCCGACATGACATACATATGTATGCACACACACAAGCAAACAAGCACACAAGCCAATACATCTATACATCTATCTACCTGTCTGTCTATCTGTCGGTCAAACCATCTCCCTATCCATCTACCTACCTACATACCTGTTTGTCTGTCTATCTATCAGTCTGTCAGAGTCTATCTATCTATCAGTCTGTCTATCTATCTGTCTATCTATCTGTCTATCTATCTATGTATACACATGCATCTTCGGACATCGCCTTGATGCTAAAGTTTCTGCTTTGTTCATAGGGTTCAGCTTTGTGGAGCTATCAGTAGAGAAGCATCCTTCGCCACAGGATTCGGGGCGAGTCAGTTTTACCTTCTGGCGCAGCAGGGGCCTCGGATCCCCCTGTGTGGACTCAGTGTTTCGCGCCCGGGATTCATCCTGACGTGTCATTGGGGTCCGTTTGTGTACCATTCATGGCTTCTTAGAATAGTGATTCGCCGAGCTTGTGGCGATCGCGTTTCGTTGCAGTGGCTGCTGGGGTTTCTGGGTTGCACCATCCAGGACAGTGACGACTTCGCCCAATGGATTCGTATGCTGTCAGTAGCCTTGGATCGAAACTGCAGGCTTCGCGTTGCCATCATTGCAGCCAGCCGCCTCAGATACGTACCGGCTACGGTCACAGATAACGACACTTGAACTCAACATCTTTCTGCTCTATGCACGTCCGCAGTGTATATGCTGCAGGTGCCTTCCGTGTCTTGCAAGAAACACCCGTGCAATTCTTCATGCAAGCCGAGGTTTTCATGAGAATAGCCAGCCAGATACAGCAGCCGGTTTCTGTTCCGCCCTCGGTCGTTTTAGCGGCTCCAGCTCACCGCGTCAGAGATCGGGTCGGAGAAGTGGCTTTAGGGCAGGGGTTTAAGGGTTTTGGGTTTAGGGCTCTGATACCTTGATACCTCCATTTTCCGTTGCCGCTGCCATCGCCCAAACCGCGAATCCCCCTTAACACCCTAAACCCTAAACCCGAAGCCTGAACCCCGAAAGGTGTGGATTTCCTTGCTGCAGCTTGTGCTTGGCATGGCCTGGGCCCCAGCTGCAGCGAGGGGCAGGCAGTCTTCAAGGATCATGGGACTTAGTAACTAGGGTTAAAATTAGGGTAACTATACTTATAACTACTTATAATCCCAATTAAGGTACTTATAACCTTACTTACTAAGTCCCATGATACCCCAACCCCAACCCCAAACCCCAAGCCTTGGTTTTAGGGCTGAGGGTACCAAGACCCCCAAACCGAAAACCTTAAAATCCGAACCCAGAACAAACAAGCAAAAGCCTTGAATCCGAATCGTGCGCTGATCCTGTCAGGTCGTCTTGGTTTGGTACAAGGCCTGAGCTGTCACTTTCCAGATGGGAGGTTAAGGGTTCAGGGTTTAGGGTTAAGATGGGAGCTTGGCAAAGACAGAGACTGAATAATGGGATCCTTAGTGGGTTTGGGGCTTAGGGTTCAAGTGGTAAAGTAGCCCCAAACAGGAAACCACATAATAGGATCCTAAACCAGAAGGACCCGCAGATAAAGCAACATCTCGTTTGACAACACTTGCAGATGGCTTAGGGCACAAAATTTGGGCTGCCTGGGTCCATCCCCTCAACCCTGAGCCCTGAACCCCAAAGGCCTAAAGGTTCTTTGCCCTGAAGCCCAAAACCCTATACATATATATATATATATATGTATAAAGATATATATATATATATATATATAATAGCCCCCGAACCTTCAAGGCTCTACAACCCGAACCCTGAAGCTTCTAAGCCCTACATAAACTCTAAAGGTTCTAAACCCTAAACCTTAATTAGCCCACCCTGAACGGGTTCTAAGCCCCAAGCCCTAAACCCCTGAAAGGCTGGAGCTGTCGCGGGGGAGGTGGGATGCCACTTCCTCCCGCATGAGGCGCACGTCGTGGTATGTCACTGCAGCCTGATGAAGGCATACATGCATAAACTCAAAGATACCTGCCTACCTACCTACCTACCTACCTGCAACACAATACAATACAAACATCCAGACATGCCTGCTGTGTGCAAATGTATGTATGTGGCTTCTCGAAACTGTTTGCGCATGCAGACTTGGAGGGACGGAGAGCCTGCACCGAGGCTGTGAATCGGGGTTGCCGAGCTGATTCGGAGCAGCATGTGGGCTAGAGTTACGTGGACATGAACGCTGTGATGAAGCTCGATGTAGTGACAAAAAATCCGCTTCGGTTCTTTTGTCGCATGTGGGACTCAACGCATGCGACCGGGCATCAACCGAAGGCAACCATATGTTCGGGGGCGGCTGGCATGGGGATGGTCCACGGATGGTAGTGGCCCGTGCCGAGCGCGCAGGGGGTGTGTTCCCTATGCCCTAAACCCAAACCCTCAAACCCTAAACCCCTAAACCCTAAACCTAAACCCCTGAAACCCTAAACCCCTAAACCCTAAACCTTAACCCTTTGCCGGCGAAAGGCTCTGAAAGCTGGCGCCGAAAGCGCCGACAGCTTGAGCCCAAGTCAGGGAACTTGGTTTTAAGGTTTAGGGCTTGGGTTTAGGGTTTTGGGATACAGGGTTTAGGGTTATAGGGTTCAGGATGAAATCAAGGGTTCGGGTTCAAGGTTTAGGCTTTTGGCTTTAGGGTTTACGGTATCGGAGAGTTCCGGGTTATCCACTATTGGGGCCGTTAGGCTCCCAATGCGTTGCTGTCCAGGAAAGGTTTTAGGAACTAGGATTTTTCCAGGGTCTTCGGGTGTTCGGGCCATAGGGTTTCCAATCGTCGCTTCAAAGAAGCCGAGTACATGCGCAGATCGGCTCCTCGGCTTTATGAAGTACAGTATAGTATAGTACAGAATAATCTTGTATAGTATCAGTATATCATAATTTAGTGTAGTACAGTACAGTACAGTATAGTGTAATCAAATACTGTGGGCGACCCAAGCCCCCTCCCTGTGTTGTTCCTGGCTTTCTCTTCTCCTCTTTTCAAGGTCAAGGTCCGCCCATAGAGGAAGCGCAGGCAGGGCCGGCAGAGAGCTTTGCATGGAGGGATTGGGGGAATTTCTCTTTAGTGTTTGGGGTTTAGGATGTAGGATTCGTGGTGTAGGGTTTAGAGTTTGGGGCTTCGGAGTGGGGGGCTGGATTGAACGATTCCCGAAGGGATTCAGGGAGTTTTCGAAGGCCATGGGAAAGCTTGGAAGTTTCGTGTATTTTCGAATCCGGCATTCAAGATAGCTTTTCTGCAGGGAATATTTAGTCTACCCCATTCAGGCCCCTGGATGAGGGCGCTCTAAAACCACATAAGCATCTGCGTAGCACCCTTTGAAACAGTGTTTGGTTACGAAACCTACAAGAGAACAAGCTTGCCAAGATCCTTAAAGAATCCTAAACCCCAAACCCCTAACCCCTAAACAATAAACCCTAAACTCTATACGGTCACGATAAAGTCAATTTCAAGAGAGTCTGGTGGAGGCCTTTGACTTGAGCCAGAGGCTTCTGCCGTTATTTGATTACAGTGTTTCGTTACGATTGGGATGGGTTTCTGTGGGTATATGATGGTACAACAGGGTATTTGGGTGTGTCCTAGTAGCCGAAGTGTTATTGCACCCCAAACCCCAAACCGTTTGATAGAACGTATAACATCTCATATCCAAAATATAATATACAACAAAACGTATATCGTCACTTGGGGACTGCGAGGATTTATAGAACACATAAGATCTCATATCCAAAATATGAAATATAACGTATGTCATACTCATTGATGGACAAAATCCTGCATTACCCATTATAAGGAATATACCATCGTTCCCATAGTTTAGAGTCCTTCGGGTCATGCAGGATTTTGTCCATCAGCCGTAACAGGGACTGCGAGAGCCGGCTTTTGAAGCCAGATTCGGACCCGGGGCTTCTCATCCCTCAGAGTCGGCTGCAGGATGTGGCGGTTTCGGTTCGTGGTGCTTCCTTGGGTCGTGCGCATGTTCTGGGCTTTGGGTTTAAATTTTGGGATTTAGAGGTTTTGGGGTTTATGGTTTAGGGGGTTTAGGGTTTAGGGGTTTAGGGGTTTAGGGGTTTAGGGGTTTAGGGGTTTAGGGGTTTAGGGGTTTAGGGGTTTAGGGGTTTAGGGGTTTAGGTTTACTCAGGTTCTTGCGAGTGTTCTGGGCTCTGGGTTTCGGGCAGCTCGACCCCATCATCACCAGCATCAACACCATCCTACCCTCCTGATCGTCATCCTGCTTCTTGTCTTGTCGCACCGGTTTTCTTCATTGCGCCTGCTGGTAACTTCGATCTGGAGCAGGGGTTATCCGTGTCTGCACAGGCGGAGACCGACCACATGACCTTCGTGATCAGTGTCCCCGCCTGAGAAACTGGAGAGCTTCATGCATTTACAAAACGATAGCAAGGATAGCACGATATCAGGATCAAGGAGGTAGATCCTTTGACAGTCCGGGATACTGTGTACTCCAGAATGATACCAGGATCAGATCGGCAAGCAGTTCGAGAAGTCTACAGTACTTTGACAGCTTCGAACTACCAGTGGGCCCCGAGGCCTAAATCCCGAAGCAAACGACCTGGGGCAGAGCAACCATTGCAGAGAGTGCCGCAGAAGCCTGAAAACCAAACTGTCCCTCGTGGCGAGTTGCGCTGCTGCACTTTCGAAAGATAAGCATGCTTTGCTCATGGACAGCCGTATGCTTTTCGCCGGCACCCTAATCCCGAAGCACTGAAGCTTCTTCAATGCCGTGTAATACACTATACTATACTGTCAGTTTTTTGGTATATTATAAGACACTATTAGAGCAGAAATCGGAACTTCGCCTTGACTCCCGGAAGCCTGCCGCGACACGTGTCCCAGTTTGCCGCGATGATCGGTGTCATCGTAACTTCTGCTTTCGGGACGCTTTACCTCGAACGGCAGCTCAAGTCGTCTAAGAAGGAGCTCCCGCTTCGGTAGGCGGAGGATTGTTTGTTTAAGACTTGAAGGTTCAGGGTGTGGGGCCTTGGGGTTCAGAGACTCAGAGACCTGAGGCATCGGAACTTGAGAGGCAACTGGAGTTGTTCAACATACAACCTTTGATAAAGGGCGCGGTCCCTTGGAACCCAGGTCTGATTGACTTTAACATGGATTGCAACTCGAAGAAAGCTGCATGACCAGTTTTTTAAGAGCAGAGGCACGTGTATGTCTACAACCTGCAAATATGTACAGAAAAACACGCACACACAGTCACACTCACACAGAGAGGCACATGTTTACATGAATAGGGGCATACATGTGTAACACAGTGACATACAGTTTGATACATCCATGCACATACTTCTGCACAGCAGCATGCATTGAACAGAACATGTTATAATGTGCGCATGCCTATGATGTGCTGAGGTGGAGGCCGAGCCTTGCATGTAACCATGCAAGCCAGTTTTGGAGTTTAGGGTTTCGGGGTTTAGGGACGCAGGGGTGCACACTTGCGCACAAGTACACATGCACAAAAAGTAGCTTCACACACCTCTATACATATGTACATACAACATCTCCCTCGTTCGCACCCTATACGTTCCTGTACATGTATTGCTCTACACCCTAAATGTCTACCTAGGGTTTGGGCTGAACCCTAAAAGCCAACAAGCCGCAAGCTTCAAATCGCGTTGTGCAGCATCTCGCAGGACCCCTTGTTCATTCAGCTACATCAGCTCAATGCCGTGGGGTTAACAGGCATGGAAGTAGCACTAGTGCTACTACAGTTTTTTATCATTAATGCCGTTAGTTATCATCATCCTTACCATTATCATCATCATCGTCCTCCCTTTCTTATCATCATTTCGAGCCACCAGAGGTTGTGCCCTGCTGCTTCGGCACGACTTACATCTACCGGGCCTTACACTGCTGACAGCTGATCCCAATTCTGCTATCTCCGAAACGTGCCACAAACGAGCGACGCATGAAGAGGCACAGCGAGTCGTAAGACTTAAAATGTATGTAGTGGCGGTTGCAGAGCTCTTGACTCTGTAAATTTTGCCCATGGTTTGCAGCATCTCCGACACTTCGGAGCCTACTCATCCTTTTGCTTTTCGATTTCTGATGCAAGATGTGGACTCCAGTCACAAGACAGGCCTTGCTGGGCTGTTGCAGACACAGGCATTCATCAGCCGTAATTGCTGTTCATGCCATCTCGGGACAGACTGCATTTGCTTCTATCTAGATCTCTGCTCGTATGTACTCATGGCATTGATTATGTTCTTATTGGCTCTATGATGGCATGTGCTGCTCGTGGACAGGTGCGGTTTTGGTCGCCATGCAATCGATGCACAAGGCCAGCTAGTGGGGTTAGGGTTTAGGATTTAGCTTGTTTTCGGGTTTAAGATTTAGGGGTTTAGGGGTTTAGTGGTTTTAGGCTTGTTGAGCTGGTTTCTCGACTGGGCACCTGTGGCCCCCCAACGCCCGTCGCCAATCTAGCTATCAAAGAAACACCGACCTGTCTAGTATACTACATGCATGTTTAGATACCTACATGCCTACCTACATGCATGTATATATATACACACATGTGTAAATAGTTCGATACATTAGATATGTATATATACACATATATATATATATATATATATATATGTGCATGTCTCCTCCGCCCACGGCCAGCCGTTGAAGTCTGCCGCGCAGGCCCCAAACGCGGAGGAGGAGCTCTCCGGCCTGAGCCCTGGGATGTTCGGTTTTGGGTGTATATACTATACTAGAAGTGTATAAAAGTATACTATGGTATACTGTAGAATACTATAGAATATTACAGTATAGTATAGTATACTAGAACATATGAGAGTATATTGGAACATATTGGAATGCACTAGAATATACTACAGCACTTTGCATTTTGCTACAATCTTCTACTCAGACACTGAAATGTGTTATTCTTCGTACACCAAGATACACTATATAACATAGGAGAACATGCCGTAACACTTATAACATTGAATGATATAATATATCCCATTATTAACATACAGTCATTTTCATACACAATACTGTGTTTAGATTATTGCCGGTATTCTATAATACCCTACACTATACAACAACAGTATGACAATATACTCTTATGTACCATGATGTACTATGATATGCGACAGTATACCAAAATATACTATAATAGACTGTAACCTACTATAACATAATATAGCATACCACAACAACTAATCTACAATATACCATTAGAAGCATAATGAGATGGCTTTTGGGTTAGCTGTCGGTGTAGCGTGTAGACTTTGTCCTGTACCCCTGAGCTCTGAAAGCTCGGTTCGATCGGCTCCCTCCCTGCCTTCGATACTGGAGCCTCAGGTTTAGGGCTTAGGGGTTTAGGGTTTAGGGGGTTTGGGGTTTAGGTCCCGGTGTTTGAGTTCAAGTGTTTAGGGGTTTGGGTTTAGGGGTCAAGGGGTTACGGGGTTTAGGGCCTCGAAGCCCCGACCCACAAAGCCCTTAAACCATCCTAAACCCGATCACCCCGACGTGCCAACTTCCGAGAATTGGCGGGTCAAATAGTCGCAAGACGTGTTGCAGCTTTTTGTCGGTGTTTGACAGATTTTACAAGGTTTTACACCCTTCCAAAACCCTTAGACTCAAACCCCTACACCCTACACTACAGGGTGCCAGAGGGTTTCATAGGGTTTTCCAATTTCCAACCTTGAATTCCCAAAGCCCCAAGTAGACTCCTAAGCATCACACCGGGGCCCTAAACCCAGTCAAGCCGTAAACTCAAAGCTCCGAAAGCCTTGCGCTCTAAAACATGAAGCCCTACACCCCTAAACACTAAGCTCTTAAAGCCTTAGGCTCCTAAGCATCATACCCGAGACACTAAGCCATAAGCTCTTAAACCCTAAACCCGAAGCCCTAAACCCAAAGCTCCTAAAGCCCTCAAGCTCTGACGTATCAAGTACCTGGCTCAGGTGCCGCAGGGCTGCCGGCAGTGACCTCAGTTCAGGGGTTCCGGTAATGTGTTCTTTTAACCTAGCGGGTTCACTTCCGGGGGTGTTTTTCACCATAGCTATTCGCTGACCTGGGTCTTTTCAGCGTATGGATGCATTTACATGTAGGTAATACATACAGGGGCTTTACTAATTAGAATAGGGTTTTGGGGCCCATTCTACTATACTAATAATTAATAAGGAGCCCCCAAAACAGGATTAGGTAATTTATTAAGGCCCCTACTTTAGGGTGTAGGAGCCAGGGCTTACGGTTCGAGATCCGGGTTTCGGGCTTCGGCTCTATCGTGAGGATCTCGGGTCAAGGGTCGAGGGGTTGACCTCTGACCCAAAAGACCTCCCCACAGTAAGGAACCCCAAAATTACCTATGGCCAAAAAGGCCTACCCTGTCAAGAAGCCAAGTATAAAACCATAACAAGGAGCCCCAAAACGGTAGGTCTTTTCGGCTACAGGTAGGGTTGATTTTCAGCTTGAAGGATCAATGGTTTAGAGAGGATTCCAGGGCCTGGAGCTGCGAATTCAGGGGTTTGGGGTTTCTGTCCAGCGTCGCTCTTATGTCGGCTTTAGGTATTTTAGGATCCAGCGACCCCAAAACGCTAAAAGTAGATTTTCTCAGGGGGTCGGAGAATCGGATAGCAGGCTTTTGAAGTTTCATCCTCGGCTTTCTACACAGGGCTGACAACGGTGCGGAGATTTCTTAGATTCAACAGATAGGTTCGTAAACCAGAGCCTGAGTGCAAGAGCCGGGTGAGTTCTGCAGGAATTGGAGGACATATCCCGTGCTGCAAGTCTCCTTCCGTTCAGCCGACCTGTGTTTTTGAGGAGGGAGTTCCTATTTTAGATAGCTTTAGTGTTCACGGTTTTGGGTTTCGGGTTTGGAGCTTGGGGTTCAGGGTTCATGACTTTCATTGTTAAGGGTTCAGGGGTCAAGGCTGGAAGGGTTTACGTGGGGTTTTACGGTGTCGCGTTTAGCGCCGGTGCTTCATGGCTCCCCCAAAAGCATCACAACCAACAGCTATTCCATCGAAACTCTGCTCTCCTCTCGCTGTAGCTATGGCTATCCGGTTCTCGAGATAGTTTAATTGTGTGTGTGTGTGTGTTGATTGCGGCCTTGCTTCTGTACCTACATTGTTTAGTGTTCGGGGTTCAGAGTCATATTTCCGGAAGCCTGAGTTTCGCCATGTGGTGTTGGTCATGTATACTCTTTTCGTTCAGTGTCAGCTGTGTCTCAGAGAGTAGGGGGTTTTGCTTCCGAAATCCATGAATACTCGGTCGCGCAGAGCATCCTTGCAAATCGATGCTTGCGGTGGAATTTTGCATCTGTACTACAATATACCGCCCCTCAAAAAATACGAAAAGCACTTTTTCTAATCATTAAGGCCCCGATATCAGACCCTTTCAGTAACCCCAACAGTAACCCTTGTAGAACCATAGATCCCGGATAGTAACCCCTTCTACTCCCCGGTTACTCCCCCTTCTAGTAGCGCATATAGAACCCTACAAAGCCGATTCAGCCAGGATCAGGGTTGTCCTGAGCGTTGGCTGCGTGCAGAGCTCGGAGGGCTACCCCCAGAGTCTCCAAAACCCTTTAATTCAGGAATATACCTTAAATCATATTATGGATCCTACTATACTTTTAGGTATATTCCTTAATTAAGGGGTTTTGGAGGCTCTGGGCCCTGGTCAAAGCACGGAGGACGTGTCAGACATTGGCTGGGGCTTGGAGTTTAGGGTTCAGGGGTTGGGGTGTCGGGTTTAGGGTAGGGGTTTAGGGTTTAGGGTCTGCCGGAGTCTAGCCTCAGCGGTTGACAGAAATCATGTAATGGTGGATTGCGGAGAAGGGCAAGAGCAGCGCCTTGGTCACACAGACATGGCAAGAGCTTAGAGCCGGATGGCCCGCATCATGAAGCGTGCATAGTGGGCATAGTGCAATGGTCCAGCCAGCTGTCGCAAGGACAGTTACGGTCATCGCCGTCATAAATGGTCAGAACAGCCATCGTAGCAAAATCAGATCTACCAGTCATCACTGCTAGCCGTAGTCAGAAGAGCCATATCGCTGTTGCTGCCCGAGACTGTTAGAAAAGCCATGATAGCTGCCATTAGATGCCGAAGTCCAATACGCTAAACCCTAAATCCCGACATCCTAAACACCCAAAACTAAAACTCTGAACCTAAAACCTTTAACCTAAGTTGCTGGGCATGTCGCAGCTAGCCCTAAGCCGCCAGCCACGGTAATCATAGCAGCAGATATGTCGGCAACTTAGTCATCATGTTTCCGGTCCCGCAAGACATAAGCACGCTTCAGGGTTTTAGGGTTTAGGGTTAAGGGTTTTGTATTTACGGTTTAGGGAGCGGTACCATTCATTTTGGCATGCTCACTGCGGGTTGCCGTCGTTTGAGCTTGAATGTTCCATTTGTTTCTCAGCCCCTAAGCCCTGAACAACTAAACCCCTAAACCCTAGCCCCCAATACCCATACCCTAAACCCCGAAACCCCTAGACCCTAAACCCCTAAACCCTGAACAACTAAACTCCTAAACCCCTAGACCCTAAACCCCTAAACTTTGAAAAACCCAACTCCTAAACCCCTAGACCCTAAACCCCTAAACTTTGAAAAACCAAACTCCTAAACCCCTAGACCCTGAACCCCTAAACCCTGAACAACTAGACTCCTAAACTCCTAAACCCTGAACAACGAAACCCCTAGACCCCTAAACCCTATACCCTAACCCTAAAAAACCCTAACCCCTAAACCCCTAACCCCTGCACCCTAAACCCCTAACCCTAAACCCTGAACCCCCTAGACCCTTTGTAAACCCAAGCCTCGAACCCTACACCCCTAGGTCGTGGCCCGCGGCGTCCTGAATGGCAGTGTCTTGAAACAGCTGGATGCCGCTGCCTCGGTGGGTAGGGTTTGGTTTTAGGAGTTAGGGTCCTGGGTTTCAGAGTTTAGGGTTTGGGTTTTGCTTTTTGGGGGTACAGCAGCTCAGGAATCAGGATGATCGCAATGGCTGTGGAAGGGTCCGGCCTAGAAGAATGGTAGTGCGACTGCCGTAGCACTACATAGCCGAAATTCCACCAGCAATGCCAGGGGTAGCCCAAAAGCTAACACCTTGAAAAGAACATACAAGCTTCAATCCTCACCAAGCCAGGACATTTCCCCAGACCATTACTTTGGGCTGTGGCTTCTGAAGGCATCGGAGCTAATGGCTTCGAGGCTTCAAATCTCGAAGACAGGCGTTTAATGTCACGTACATGGCGACGACGACGACAACAACAACTACTACCACTGCTACTGCTACACTGTTATTCGTGTACGTGCTCTTGGCAGCATCATTAGTCAAACTAAGTCGCTGCCCAAAACCCGGAACCCTAGAGACACCGCCAGGCCGTAATGTCCTGAAACACTTACAGTTGTCGTTTGTCATGGGGCTTCAAGTTTACGTGTAGATGGATTTATGTGTATATATATATATATGTACTTCTATCTTATATATATACACATGCTTTTAGAGAGAGAGAGAGAGAGTATAGAGTGCAGGTCATGTTATTTAATCTTGTATTATGCTAGATTCTGTTTCTAGCATCGATAATCGACAAGCATTGTGGTTTCGGGTCGAAAGCATTGCCTTTGTGTGTAACCTCTGCCATCGAGGCTCTCACGAAGGGCCTGATCGACGTGACTGCAATCGTCCTGTGCACGCTGATTCAAGTCCTGGTCGGGGCCTTTGTGACGAGTTGGTGTTACTGTTAGCCAAGTACGACTAGTGTTCTGACAGCAGCCGATAAGAGTCAGTAAGCTATTGAATAGCAGTCATCGGGTGGAAGAAAAGGATGGTGGTCACGGCTGTGAAGACGAAGATTAGTGTGAAGACGAAAATCGTGATGATGATTGCGACGATGGTCCTAGTAGTGAGAAGAGGAAGGCGGTGATCGACAGTATCGTTTCTCACTTTTCTTTCAGTTCTTTTAGTCATGCTTTTGACTAGTGCAAGATCGATGGAGTGATCCGTACTGCCATGAACTCCTGTGTCTGTCATCATTTCTTGCTATCGTTCTGACCAGTGCTTTTTCGAATGCTTCGGCAGTGGTGGTGGCAGCGATGATGGTGCTGATGCTGGTATATGCTCTTGATGCCGATGGTGATGCTGATGGTGATGATGATGGTGGCGACACTGCTGCTGCTGCTGTTGATGATGATGATGATGATGAAGCTGCTGCTGCTGACGACGGTGATGGTATCACTAGTCACACCTTGCTTGGTGCTCTGCAGCTTCTGCTGTTACCACTACGATGACCTGTATTGTTGCTAGTAGAAATGCTCAACACTATTGTCAGCAGCATCTGACTTTCACCTATCTCCAACTGATCTTCGTTGTGACAGCGGGACCTGACCCGGAAAGCAGGCACAAGGCCGGAAGACGGACGCCACGGCTATGGGCCTGCAGATGATGATGCTGCGCCACCCCCAGGACCGTAGGTGTTGGAGATGGTGGTGCTCTAGTGGTATAGGTGTCGTCCGGTTCATTTAGGGGGTATAGTAGTCGTCGACGCCATCGGTCGCAACCGCCGTAGCAGTCGTCGTCGTAGTGGTCGTTGTCGGAGCCTAAGTCGCAGTCGTAGCCGAGGTGGTAGTCGCAGTCCTGGTCGAAGGCATAGCCGTAATATCAGCAGCAGCAGGAGGAGGAGGCGGAGGAGGAGTAGGAGTAGGAGTAGGGTAGGAGGAGGAGTAGGAGTTGGAGTTGGAGTGGTTGTCGCCGTCCTCGTAGTCGTCGTAGCAGTAGCAGTAGCAGTAGCAGTAGCAGTAGCAGTAGCAGTAGCAGTAGCAGTAGCAGTAGCAGTAGCAGTAGCAGTAGCAGTAGCAGTAGCAGTAGCAGTAGCAGTAGCAGTAGCAGTAGCAGTAGCAGTAGCAAGTAGCAGTAGTAGTAGTAGTAGTAGTAGTAGTAGTAGTAGTAGTAGTAGTAGTAGTAGTAGTAGTAGTAGTAGTAGTAGTAGTAGTAGTAGTAGTAGTAGTAGTAGTAGTAGTAGTAGTAGTAGTAGTAGTAGTAGTAGTAGTAGTAGTAGTAGTAGTAGTAGTAGTGGTAGTAGTAGTAGTAGCAGTAGTAATAGTAGTAGTCGTAGTAGTAGTAGTAGTAGTAGTAGTAGTAGTAGTAGTAGTAGGAGTAGGAGTAGTAGTAGTAGTAGTAGTAGTAGTAGTAGGAGTAGGAGTAGGAGTAGGAGTACAATGCGGAAACGAGAGCCGACTACCAAGGCTCAGTGTTCTCGGATTTGTCACGGCGCAGATCTCAGTGACTGCAGTTTACTGCAGTTTGTGGTGCCTTCCACACGCTGCTAGATTCTCGGAACAGCAAGTGTTTAGAGTTCGGCTTGTGATTCGCCGAGGGGAGGCAGTCTTCTGCCGCAGCCGCTGCCACGCGCCCGGAGCTTATTAAAGCCCAGGCTTGCAGCTTGGTGATGAAAACCGACTCTTGGCCGTTATACACCTTGAACTGCCATCCCCGTCACCTTTTACCATCGCCTTCCCTGCCTAAGGGCCTAGATGCGAAACCGATGTTTCTTGAGGCCGGGAGGAGGCCAATTCGCTGCCTCTGTGGCCCAAGCCGCGGCCTGGACCCCTGCGAAACGAAAGCGTGTGTTGCTCTCTGTGATGCCGAAGTCTGCGACGAAGTGGTAGTAAAGCCAACAATGGAGCTGGCCGCACTCGTGAGGAGTACTGGCGCAGGAGGACGTAAGAGGAGCAGCAGGAGCATTAGCAATAGTCGCGCCGGAGGATGCAACAGGAGCAGGAGGAGGATGAGGACGGCTAGTAGGCAGGGGGAGCAAGAACGGTAGCAGTCACAGCAGGAACATAAATAGTAGTAGGAAGAGGAGCAGTAGCGGTAGTTCTGCTGGTAGGTAAGAGTATTAGTAGCTTTAGTATCAGTGCTGGTAGTGGTACTCGCAGTAGTCGCAGTTGTCGCAGTAGTAGCAGCAGCACCAGCAGCAGCAGGAGGAAGAGGAAGAGGAGGAAGATGAGGAAGCGGAGGATGAGGAGAAGTAGCAGAAGTAGTAGCAGGAGTACTAGTAGTTGCAGTGGTAGCAGTCAGCAGGAGTAGCGGAATCATCTAGTGGTAGTAGAAGCAGAAGCATCGACCCGGCTAGGATGTCCTCACATTCTTCGGGTCACTGGCTAGCCGAGTCCAATTGCACATGTCCCCCAGACGGAAATAGATTCTTGTAGGGACATCGTCAACATGTCTGCGCGATTTCAAAGTTTTCCTAGAGTGATGCAGTACTGCGAATGCTTACGACTGGTACATAAGGTTGGTGCAGATTCTAATTACTGCAAAATTACTCTAAGGATTAGCAGCAGTGTTACCATAAGGGTGGCGAGAGTGCACTACGAAGAGACAGTTCTGAGGCTTTGGCCTTGGGAGATGCGGGTCCAGCCGGCAACCCAGACGTTCTCTGGGTTCTTGCTAAGCACTTCATTTACGCTGCCATACCACGCAAACCATATTGTTTGGGGTAGACCTTTACCATTTTAACTCAAACTAAGTTCCTGAACTTTTTCTACAGCCCTGTTATTGTCAGTCTTGCGCAGCTTGGGTCTCCTGCAAAGCGGCTGGCGCTGTCAAATCCTAAACCCTGTTTTGGATTTGGTGTTGCTAAGACTTGGAGATTCAGGTGGTGCGCGTGTAGCGACTGCAGCAGCTTCCAGTATCCGGTGGTTCTTCGGTTTTGTTAAGAAAGGCACGGCTGGGTCACAGACAGGCTTTCGAGGGCTTGGGCACACAATGCCCTGGTGGTTTCAAGATTTGTTGTTCTTTGAGGGAGATATGTGCCGTCGTGGCTGAAGGAGAAGCAACATGTCTCTTGTTCCGCACTGAAAACTTAGGAGGCTCAGCGATCAGGCTTTCGATGAGTTTCCTAGGGTCCTGCTAGCCCCTTCAAGCCCTAAGCCCTAGCCTAATCCCGATGCACAGTGACAACAGACGTCCAGGCCAATTCCCAAAGCACTCTGAGCTCTTTGAAGCCTCTATGTGTCACCTTTGCAGCGGCAGTTGTCTGAAGACAACATGTCAGGACCGCGAGGGAGTGCATAAGCCTCCAAATTTCAGTGTTGTGCCTGTTTGTGGATGGGCTGGGTCGCTACTCGGCGCAAGACCTTGCGACAGCGGCTCAAATCAAACCATCGCGAAGCTCAACAAACTGTCATCGACCCGAAACCGTAAACCCTGAGCCCTAAACCTGAACCACCCAAAACCCTTTGCCCTGCACCGTCATCTCAGAAACCCCCAAACCTTGCATCCGCAACCCGAAACTCGCAACCCCTGGCTGCCAGGGTGCAAGGCCTTGGCAACACAATTCATCGGGCCTCTTTAGCTCACCGCGACATGCAAAGAACATGCATATTCAACCGTAAAACTTAAGCCCGTAGAGTGCATGCTGTTGCTGAAGAGGACGGACCCAATCTGTTTTCCATCCTTTCTACGCCTGGCTGGCTGGAAAAAGCTGTGGCGTGCTTGATGCGCAGAGCGTTCTGTCCGAGCCCTGATGGTGTAGAGTTCAGCGGCGTCGGGCTGAGAGGAATCACACTTTAGGGCTGGTCGACTTGATGTTTGATTTGATTTGCACTGTTGACTTCACCGCCACTGCCGTCTGCACAGGGGTCTCCATCCTTCATGACAAGAGCAGTCAGTATGTCTTAGTCATGACATGTCATGACATGTTGTTACGTAATGCTGTTCAATGCTGTACATACATATGGAGTCGATGAAAGCGGTGTTTCGTTGTGCCTGTCTGGAGGATAGTGTGGAATCCGCTCCTTCACATCCTTTGCCATCACAGGGTGTATTGCCAAATCCTGTCTTTGTTGTTGACCACGTGTTGGCACGCACAAGGTCACAATGCCCCTAAGTCTGCAACCGAACTTTAGTTTCAATGAGCGGGACCTAATCAAACCTCGACAGTCAAAACGTCGAAACGTTTTCGTCATTTCTGCTTTTGGCGCTTTCTTTTTGATGTGTTTTGCACATTTCGGTTTTTCGTTTCCTTGCGCTTCCTTTTTTTGTACTTTTCGGGGTTTCAGCTTTTCGACTTCTTCGTGTTTTTTTGAACTTGTTCTGAGTTTTCGAATGTTTTCGAGTTTTCAACCTTCGGCCCAGCGCTAGAGTAAGGGCAGGCGTGTTTAGGGTTTTGGGGTTTAGGGGTTGAGGATTTAGGGTTTAGGTTTTGACCTGGTGTTGTGTGATTTGCTGTCAGCAGGCGATTCCCATCCGACAATGCGTTCAAGCTGTCCTTTGAAGCCACCATGGCAGCCATCTCGCCATCCTGCCATGGACATGTGCGGCCCTTGCTGCAAGCAGCTTCTCGTGCCCCAGATGTTCGACGAAAGCCCCAGGAAGAACACCTGAAGAGGCTTCCAGCAGGCTGCCATGCCAGACTCCCAACAGAAAGAGGTTGTGCTGAAAGCTTGTTGCTGTTTTGCTGAATATCACCTTTCCTTTGCCACAGGTCTACTTCTCGGTGCTTCTGCGATCATTTCCGTCCGCCGTGGCAAAAGAAGCGGGCGCATCTGCCGAGCCGCCGGTGATGCCGCGAAGGGTGCTGTCCGGGAGCTGCCACTTCCTCCTGGAAAGCCCGGCAATGCCTTTCTCGATTTGCTGAAGTACGTGAAGGCTTGGGGGATTAAGGGGTTGCCAGACTAATTATAAGGGTTAATATAAGGGTATTGTGGGCAAAGTCATAGGGATCACGTTTCACGAATAAAATATAACCCTTCACCCTCAACCCTAACCCTGGGAAGCCCGGTCACATCCCTAAACCCTAACCCCAAAACCCTAAACTTAAACCCTAACCTCTAACCCCTAAACCCTAAACCCCAAAATGTCGGAAGTCCGGGAAGGATCCTGACGGATATATCGCAGAGCAAGTCGAAGCATATGGGCCGGTGTTTCAGATGAGTCTCGGTTCTTGTTACGGGATTTAAGGATTTTTTCGGCCTTAAGGGACTTAGGGTTTGGGGACTACGGGTTCAGGGCTTAAGGGGTTTACTTTCAGTCACCATGACAAGGAGCCCATATTATTTTCTCAAGACACCTATTATGGTAACTTAAATTAAATCCTTTAGCAAGAACCCAGGAACTACTTCGGCCGCAAAACTGTCATTGTGGGTGGTGCAGAGGGTGTGACCGGTTTTACCAGCGCTGAGAAGAAAATCACAAAATCTGCTTTACCAGACACTTTCTCGCAGTTGCACACTGAGTATGGCACCATGAACCTTGGAGGGGAGGCCCACGCAACCAGCCGTGTGGGATTGATCAACTCTGCTCTATGTGAGGAGGCCTTCGAATATTTTCTGCCCGTTATTCAGGCACGCTGTTCAGAGTTTCTGGACTCTGTGGAGTCCAGAGGCAAATTCCGGCCGGCGCAGGAGCTAAAGGACTGGAGTGTGACACTCTTTGCAGAGCTCTTCACCGGCATCCCTTTCGACCAGGAAATGATGAAGTTGCTCTACAGCTACAACGAGGGACTGTATGGGCTCATCCCTCTGAAGCTCCCCTTCACCGCTTTTGGCCGTGGTTTTCGGGCCAAGGACGAGCTTGTTAACCGGCTCCGGGGACAGATCGAAGAACTGAAGCGCAGTGGCAAGATCGAGGAGACTACTACTTCTGCTACTACTACTACTACTACTACTACTGCTACTGCTACTACTACTACTACTACTACTACTACTCCTACTCCTACTCCTACTACTACTCCTACTCCTACTCCTGCTCCTGCTCCCGCTCCCGCTCCTGCTCCCGCTCCCGCTCCTGCTCCTGCTCCTCGTCCTCCTCCTCGTCCTCCTCCCACTCCTCCTACTTCACCAGGGTGAGAACATGAATAGTGAAGGTTTTGAAGTTTGGAGAGTTTGAAGGATTGAAACGCTTCGAGAGTTCCGCGGTTCCGCGAGTTCCGAGTCGAAATTTTGGAAACCTGACATTTCGAAGGCATGAGCGACGGAGGAAGACCGACCCAGGGTCACGCGATGGCAGGTGACCTCACATCTTGAACCTGCTATGTGGGAGTTTCCGAAAACAGGGGGCCCTAACGCAGTACCCTAAATAGTAGAATCCTTGTAGTAAGGACCCCAAAACGAGGTACCTATTTCGGAATTTCCCATGTCAGTAGATGGTGGTTAATCTCCCAAACCCTCCCGCTCATTAGGCGAGTGCGATCGACTCTCATATGTTTTTCCCGATCCCCCGCCAGGCGACGGCTGTGGATCCCACATTTTATTTTGAACCTGCCTCCGCATTAGGCGATGGCGGTTGATCCCATATCTTATCTGGGCACATATGGGGGTTTCCCAAAAACGACGGGTGCCTTCTTTTAGGGTCCTTTTAATGAGGATCTTATTATTTAGGGTACTATATTAGGGTCCCGTATTTTCGGAAACTCCCGTGTAACCTTACTTCCAGTGGGATGTTGTTGAAGGCATAGGTCAATGCCGGCATCTCTAAACTCGAAGCCCCAATCCCGATACTCAAGATGAAGTCCCTGAACACAGGAGAGTATACGCGTGTTAACAAACTCGAACTTTACGCTTTCACACTCAATCTTTCAATCGTCCAAGCTTTCAATCACTTCGCCCTTCAACCTGTGAAATTCCTCAACTTTCAAGCGTTCGAACTCTCGAAGTGAGAACAGTTCAATCCTTCTAGCTTTCAGTCTCGGGCTTCTCAAACTCTCCATCCTTTCAAAGTTTCAATCTCGAGCCTGCGATGCACCACGTGGACCCACCTGCGTCCTCACCTCACGTCTGTCGCGCGGCGCATGTCGCCGCAGCTTCAGTCTTTCAAGCTGCATTCCGTCACAAACCTTCAGACTCCGGGGTGTTGTCAAAGTCAAAACGTTCGTAACTTGAAGACATTTCAGTCTCCTAACTTGTCAGACTGCCGAACTCCCCAATCTCACCCTCTATGTGATGCATTCATTTTTTCAAACCAAACCGTATGGTAACCTTTATAGCTATCGAGAGGGAAACAGCCCTACGAAGTCTTGTTCCCGGCCGGGGTTGAAATAAAGCATGCGAGCTCCGACCCAGAGCATATGAGGGCAATGCCTTACTGTGGAGGTCCCCAAAACCTCCCTTAAGTTATACCAAAAGGCTCGTGTCTCTTATATGCTAAAGCCTGAACCCACAAAAGCTGTCAAACATCCAGGGAGCGGTGTGTCGAGACAGCTCGCACGGATTCAGCGATCAGTGTAGTAAGACAGGAGCCAAAGTATGCGGTCTTGCGGCGCATGATGAAGAGCTTCGGCTAAATCACCAATACTATGTTTGGGTTCCTCACTAAAGATATAGTTCTATTAGAAGCTAAAGAACCAATTAAATATTAAGGCCCCTACATGTTATGCGCTTGCTCACATAGAGATTTGCGATACTTTCAAAGCTATGCCAAAAGTCTATCCATAGTAATCCTCGCAATCGTCATCCTCATCATTGTAGTAATGACATTGGTATGTTGTGCAGTTCCCACCCAGAGTACAGCCAGAGCCGTAAGGTCCTGCACGGGTTACATGGGATTGATTGGGAGGGTTTAGGCTTTAGGGTTTAGGGTTTAGGGTTTAGCCGTTTCAGTCAACTCCGTTCAAAGGTAGTGCGGGTTTTGAGCCATGGACATGTAACCGTGTGAGAAGATGTCCTTGATGTGCTGGCCAGCCCTTTCCATGTCTGTGTGTGAAGTAATGTAGGGGCCTTGATAATCAGAGTAGGGTTTTCGGAGTTCCTTATTACATCTATAGTACTATATACCCCTAAACCTTGTTCTAATCATTAAGGTCGCTTCATTAAGAGCACCCTCGGGCGCAGCAAAGGAGCAAGGATGAGAATGGGGAAAACTGGAGCACTGATCGCGTGGCCAACGCTTCCATGCTCATGGCCCCTTTGCTGCGGTAAGTGGCGTGACACTTGGGCTAGTGTAGCCACTCAAGATTGATCTTGCAGAAGCAGCGCCATGCGACACGCACATCGAAGGTTTGGGGTGCCTATGTGGAGCTCGCATCTCTGCTGGCCAACGCCATCTACCTCACGTCCTCTGCTTCCGAGGCCAGAACCGTTGACAGGATCTGGCCATCTTTAGCTTCTCTCAGGGGAATCAGCTGCTTGACAAATCCATGTGGACATCCATGTACGCGTGCATGTATGTGCAGGGGCATGCGTATGTGTATGTGGGATGCATTGTGTCCGCGGGTCTGCATGCCTGCGTATGCATATGAGTGTATGCCTGTGTGGCGTACACGTGTGCGGGCACGTATATATGCATGGATGAATGAATGAACGAATGAACAAAGGAGCGAATGAACGAATGAATTAATGAATGAATATATTTATGCGTGTGTGTGTGTATGTACGTGTGTTTATGTATGTACGTGTCGTTTGGATTCCTTTCTGTGTGTGTTGCTCTCTCTCTCTCTCTCTCTCTTTCTCGCTCTCTCTCGCTCCCTCCCCATATGCGTGACTGCCTCTGTACATGTAAGTGCATCAGCAAGCAGACTGGAAGCCTTAAAGCAGCAGGCCGCAGTGTAAAGTTGGAAGACCGCAAAACGGCTCTTCGTTCTGACATCTGCACGCTGATGTGCCCAAACATAGTTGAACCTTCGAAACTTGCAGGTTACTGTTGCTCCTCTTCTTGTTGCTTTGTGTGCTGTCAGTCTTACCGTTGTTTTCAGGCTTCCTCTTCATGTCAAGTTGCACTGTTGCAGATACAGTTCAATCACGATGCTTTCAGTAGTTTGGTGTGCGCAATTCCAAACTCACATAGGCTGTGCAACCTACACCCTAAACCCTACACCCATCTACACCCTAAGCCCTAAGCCCTCTACACCCTTAACCCTATAAGCCCTACACCCATCTACACCCTAAGCCCTAAACCCCAAACCCTACACCCTAAACCCTAAACCCTACACGAGGTGCGGGAGAAGGCTTTCGCAGAGGCCAGTGCAAAACCGGCAGGCACCCAAAGCGATCTGAAGAAGCTCAGCTACCTGCAGGCGTCTTCGGGTTTAGGGTCGGGTGTAGGGGTTTGGGGTTTGGGGGTTGCGGGGGTTTAGAGGTTTAGGGGAGTCTAGGGCAATTATTGGGTTTAGGGAAGGTTGTAAGGCCTAAAGACTCCAAGCCTGTTTAACCCCCAAGTGAAGGGCAAGCAAAACCCTGCAGCCAACACCTGCATGCCGGCCTGTACGACATTCTGGATGCAGGCTTGCTGCGGATAGATTCGACGAGCAAAAGTAAAAAGCGATTACACCCCAAACCCTTTTCCCTAAGCCCTAAACCCTAAACCCTTTCATGATAACCCCAAGTTACTTCGGCACTCAAAGAAATCAGAGCGTTTGGTTTTGGAATCTACTTCTGTCAGGGTTAGGGATCTTCAACGTGTATTTTCAGGTACACTGCTTGACAAGTGGTTCCTGTTGCGTCTGGGTTGCCCGTCGACGTTGCTACTCTGTCACACGTCCTCTGCCTGTTCACATCTCGCCTGGAATCCTAACTCTAGGCCCCGAAACCCTGTGCCCTAAAGCCTATGTAATGCTTTAGATATTCAAATCTTGTCCTTACGGAGCAAATGCGTTGCAGGCAATTCTTGACGAGACGCTCCGAGTGAAGCCGCCGAGTGGGGGCGGATTCCGTCTGGCAGAGGACCCCGCAACTCAGAACCGAAGAAGGCCCTTGACCCTAAACAGTAAACCCTAAACCCTGAGTCCACGACCGTAGGTAACAAGCCAGCCTGAACCCTAGGCCGGAAGCCATAAACTGCAACTCTGCATTCACAAGAAGTAAGAAGAGAGGTGTTCCCGATCCCAGTGTCCTTTTTGAGGTCCTCCTCAGCGGAGTGATGTAACTCAGAGGCCTTTATGCCATGAGGGTCCCTTGGGAAGTGTGGCATTATGTACCCTAAACGCCGCATTCGGGATCGAGGATGCTGAGGGGCAGAATTGGGCCACCAGCGCCCGGACTTACTCAAGTTCCCATGTGGCGGTTGCGAAGCCTTTGCCTTTTGTTAGCCACTTTGATCGACCCGCCCAGAATCGCAAACCCTAGACCCTAAGCCCTTAACCCTAAAGCCTAAAGAATCCTGGCCCGAGCGCCTCGGCTGAGTCATTGCTGCAACTGCCATGAATCCAATGCATGATGGACGTTTGCCATGGGAGACAAGTTACAATATAGGGGCCTCGATAATTACCGACACTATTTTGGGGGTTCCTTATCATAGTAATAGTACCCCTTTCATTACCACTTCCGACATATGTCCGCAGCTCAACAACCCAGCAGAAAGCTTGGTTCTGGAGAGGAGGACATCGAAATTGCCGGGTACCGCATCCCCAAAGGCCACTGCACCGGCTGTGATGTTGTAAAAGTCCACGAAGTACACGCAGGCATGCATGCATGCGTGGCATTGAACCATGGCCCTAAATCCCATACCCTTAAGTCGTAGCAAACAAGGGCTGCTCTAATGCGACTGATGCAGGCTTCGTGGTCTCGGCGGATCCGCGCATCACCAACATGGCATCTCGTTCCAACTGGCAACTTCGGATTTGATCCATTCGTTCGGAAATGTCACTTTTTTCCGTTTCAGAAGGGTATGCTTGTTCTGCACAAAGGCTGAGAAGTTAGTATGCGTAGTTAAACCCGTAAAGAAACGCCTAGCTAGCTGCGTTTGTATGAATGAATGATTGTATGTATGTATGTATGTATGTATGTATGTAGGTATGTATGTATGTAGGTATGTATGTATGCATGTATGTATGTATGTACCCTACCTAAACCCTTAAACCCTAAAGCCAAAACCCTCAACCCACACGTACGGGTGGTTGTCAAACTTATGGTCCCTT